CCCCAAGCTCTTTGACCATGATAAGGGGAAACCTTGATTATTGCACCAGGAGAATCGATAGGTTGCGGCCAGGAGATCCGGCAGTTTTTTCTTCAACTCCAGGACCTTTGACCATGATCAGGGAAACCCTGATTTTCCCCCAGGAGAATCGGGAGCTTTTTCTTCTTCACTCCAGTCCCTTTCACCGTGATAAGGGGAAAAACCTTGATTTTCCCCCAGGAGTATGAATCGGGGGCTTTTTCTTCAATCTCCAAGCCCTTTGACCGTGATAAGGGGAAACCTTGATTTTGCCCCAGGAGAATCGGGAGCTTTTTCTTCAACTCCAGGCCCTTTGACCATGATAAGGGGAAACCTTGATTTTGCCCCAGGAGAATCGGCAGCTTTTTCTTCAACTCCCAGGCCCTTTGATCATGATAAGGGGAAAAACCTTGATTTTCCCCCCCAGGAGAATCGGGAGCTTTTTCTTCAACTCCAAGCTCTTTGACCATGATAAGGGGGGAAACCTTGATATTGCCCCAGGAGAATCGGCAGTTTTTTTCTTCAAACTCCAGGCCCTTTGACCATGATAAGGGGAAACCTTGATTTTTCTCCAGGAGAATCGGGAGCTTTTTCTTCAACTCCAAGCCCTTTGACCATGATAAGGGGAAACCCTGATTTTCCCCAGGGAGAATCGGGAGCTTTTTCTTCAACTCCAGGCACTTTGACCATGATAAGGGGAAATCTTGATTTTTCTCCAGGAGAATCGGGAGCATTTTCTTCAACTCCAGGCCCTTTGACCATGATAAGGGGAAACCTTGATTTTCCCCCAGGAGAATCGACAGTTTTTTCTACAACTCCAGGCCCCTTTCACCGTGATTAAGGGGAAACCTTGATTTTCCCCCAGGAGAATCGGGAGCTTTTTCTTCCAACTCCAAGCCCTTTGACCGTGATAAGGGGAAAACCTTGATTTTGCCCCAGGAGAATCGGGAGCTTTTTCTTCAACTCCAGGCCCTTTGACCATGATAAAGGGAAACCTTGATTTTGCCCCAGGAGAATTGGCAGCTTTTTCTTCAACTCCAGGCTTTTTTGACCATGATAAGCGGAAACCTTGATTTTCTCCAGGAGAATCGGGAGCTTTTTCTTCAACTCCAAGCCATTTGACCATGATAAGGGGAAACCCTGATTTTTCCCCCAGGAGAATCGGGAGCTTTTTCTTCAACTCCAGGCCCTTTGACCATGATAAGGGAAAACCTTGATTTTCCCCCAGGAGAATCGACAGTTTTTTCTTCAACTCCAGGCCCTTTGACCATGATAAGGGGAAACCTTGATTTTCCTCAGGAGAATCGGGAGCTTTTTCTTCAAACTCCAAGCCCTTTGACCATGATCAGGGGAAACCCTGATTTTTCCCCCAGGAGAATCGGGAGCTTTTTTCTTCAACTCCAGTCCCTTTCACCGTGATAAGGAGAAACCTTGATTTTTCCCCCAGGAGAATCGGGAGCTTTTTCTTCAACTCCAAGCCCTTTGACCGTGATAAGGGGAAACCTTTGTTTTTGCCCCAGGAGAATCGGGAGCTTTTTCTTCAACTCCAGGCCCTTTGACCAATGATAAGGGGAAACCTTGATTTTTGCCCCAGGAGAATTGGCAGCTTTTTCTTCAACTCCAGGCTTTTTGACCATGATAAGGGGAAACCTTGATTTTCTCCAGGAGATTCGGGAGCTTTTTCTTCAACTCCAAGCCCTTTGACCATGATAAGGGGAAACCCTGATTTTACCCCCAGGAGAATCGGGAGCTTTTTCTTCAACTCCAGGCCTTTTGACCATGATAAGGGGAAACCTTGATTTTCCCCAGAAGAATCGGGAGCTTTTTCTTCAACTCCAAGCCCTTTGACCATGATAAGGGGAAACCCTGATTTTCCCCCAGGAGAATCGGGAGCTTTTTCTTCAACTCCAGGCCCTTTGACCATGATAAGGGGAAACCTTGATTTTCCCCCAGGAGAATCGGGAGCTTTTTCTTCAACTCTAAGCCCTTTGACCGTGATAAGGGGAAACCTTGATTTTCCCCAGGAGAATCGGGAGCTTTTTCTTCAACTCCAGGTCCTTTAGACCATGATAAGGGGAAACTTGATTTTCCCCCAGGAGAATCAGGAGCTTTTTCTTCAACTCCAGGCCCTTTGACCATGATAAGGGGAAACCTGATTTTCCCCCAGGAGAATCGGCAGCTTTTTCTTCAACTCCAGGCCCTTTGACCATGATAAGGGGAAACCTTGATTTTGCCCCAGGAGAATTGGCAGCTTTTTCTTCAACTCCAGGCTTTTTGACCATGATAAGGGGAAACCTTGATTTCCCCCCAGGAGAATCAGGAGCTTTTTCTTCAACTCCAGGCCCTTTGACCATGATAAGGGGAATTCTTGATTTTGCCCCAGGAGAATTGGCAGCTTTTTCTTCACCTCCAGGCCCTTTGACCGTGATAAGGGGAAACCTTGATTTTCCCCAGGAGAATCGGGAGCTTTTTCTTCAACTCCAAGCCCTTTGACCATGATAAGGGGAAACCCTGATTTCCCCCAGGGAGAATCGGGAGCTTTTTCTTCAACTCCAGGCCCTTTGACCATGATAAGGGGAAACCTTGATTTTCCCCAGGAGAATCGGGAGCCTTTTTCTTCAACTCCAAGCCCTTTGACCATGATAAGGGGAAAACCCTGATTTTCCCCAGGAGAATCGACAGTTTTTTCTTCAACTCCAGGCCCTTTGACCATGATAAGAGGAAACCTTGATTTTCCACCCCCAGGAGAATCGGGGAGCTTTTTCTTCAACTCCAAGCCCTTTGACCGTGATAAGGGGAAACCTTGATTTTCCCCCAGGAGAATCGGGAGCTTTTTCTTCAACTCCAGGTCCTTAGACCATGATAAGGGGAACCTTGATTTTCCCCCAGGAGAATCAGGAGCTTTTTTCTTCAACTCCAAGCCCTTTGACCTTGATAAGGGGAAACCCTGATTTTTCCCCAGGAGAATCGGCAGCTTTTTCTTCAACTCCAGGCCCTTTGATCATGATAAGGGGAAACCTTGATTTTGCCCCAGGAGAATTGGCAGCTTTTTCTTCAACTCCAGGCTTTTTGACCATGATAAGGGGGAAACCTTGATTTCCCCCAGGAGAATCAGGAGCTTTTTCTTCCACTCCAGGCCCTTTGACCATGATAAGGGGAAACCTTGATTTTTCCCCTAGGAAAATCGGGATCTTTTTCTTCAACTCCAGGTGCTTTGACCGTGATAAGGGGAAACCACTTGATTTTCCCCCAGGAGGAATCTGCATTTTTTCTGCAACTCCAGGCCCTTTGACCATGATAAGGGGAAACCTTGATTTTTGCCCCAGGAGAATCAGGAGCTTTTTTTTCTTCAACTCCAGGCCCTTTGACCGTGATAAGGGGAAACCTTGATTTTCCCCCAGGAGAATCAGGAGCTTTTTCTTCAACTCCAGGCCCTTTTCTTGACCGTGATAAGGGGAAACCTTGATTTTCCCCCAGAAGAATCGGGAGCTTTTTCTTCAACTCCAGGTCCTTTGACCGTGATAAGGGGAAACCTTGATTTTCCCCAGAAGAATCAGGAGCTTTTTCTTCAACTCCAAGCCCTTTGACCATGATAAGGGGAAACCTTGATTTTCCTCCAGGAGAATCGGCAGTTTTTTCTTCAACTCCAGGCCCTTTGACCATAATAAGGGGAAACCTTGATTTTCCCCCAGAAGAATCGGGAGCTTTTTCTTCAACTCCAAGCCCTTTGACCATGATAAGGGGAAACCTTGATTTTCCCCCAGAAGAATTGGCAGTTTTTTCTTCAACTCCAGGCCCTTTTTGACCATAATAAGGGGGAAACCTTGATTTTCCCCCAAGGAGAATCGGGAGCTTTCTTGCGCCAGGTATGGCCTCGCAGTGATGTTCTTGTACATCACTTCTTCTCGAAGGGTAATCCTCCAATCAGACGAAAAACTTAGTGTCACTTTCACTCACTAAATCATTCCCATTTTGGACATATCGACACTTCTTTGCATCCCATACCCCAACAACATTGTGGTCGAGACCACTCGCCCCACGGAAACTGCCACAACGGCACTTAATCTCCAATATTTCTACTCTACTTTTAGAGGATCCTTCCCCGGATCCAAGTTGCATGGCATGGGAGAAGGACCTACAGATCTCTTTTCAAGATGAAGACTGGGAGGACACCATTCATGAAAATGTCCATCAAGTCTCCTGAAATGTTGCCATCTAGGAAAACTCATATAAAATGGAAACCAGGCGTTCATTTAACCCCTCGCCCTCCTGAGGATTTACCCCCCTTAATGACCACGTCTATTTTTGCTACTCAGCGCTGCACTAATTCAAACTGATAATTGCGCGGGTCGTGCAACGCTGCACCCAAACAAAATTTACGTCCTTTTTTTCACACAAATAGAGCTTTCTTTCGGTGGTATTTGATCACCTGTGCGCTTTTTATTTTTTTCACGCTATAACCAAAAAAAGACCCCAAAATTTTGAAGAAAAACAATATATTTTTTTACTTTCAGCTATAAAAAATATATAGTAAACTAAGTTGGTTATAAATTTAGGCCAAAATGTATTCTGCTCCATGTTTTTGGTAAAAAAAATCCCAATAAGTGTATATTGATTGCTTTGTGTGAAGTTATAGCGTCTACAAACTATGGGATAGATACTGCAATTTACGCCATTTTTCTGCTATACAGCGCTGCGCTAGTTTAACGGACAATTGCGCGGTCATGCAATACGGTATATAAATGACATTTACATCTTTTTCCCACAAATTGAGCTTTCTTTCGGTGGTATTTGATCGCCTGTGCGGTTTTAATTTTTTGCGCTATAAAAAAAAAGCCTGACAATTTTTGAGACAAAAAAAACTATATTTTGGACTTTTTGCTATCAAACATGTCCAGTAAAAAAAAAATTTTTAAAAATCAAATTTAGTCATAAATTTCTGCCAAAATGCATTCTGCGACATGTCTTTGCTACAAAAAAAACCCAATACGTGTAAATTAATTGGTTTACGTGAAAGTTTATCAGCGTCTACAAATGGCGGGAAAGATACTGGGATTTTTAGGGGTTTTTTTGTACTAATAATTGGCGGCGATCAGTGACTTATGGCGGCGATCAGTGACTTATGGCGGCGATCAGCGACTTATGGAGGTGATCAGTGACTTATGGGTGGCAATCAGTGACTTATGGAGGAGATCAGTGACTTATGGCGGCGATCAGCGACTTATGGAGGTGATCAGCGACTTATGGAGGTGATCAGTGATTTTATGGCGGCGATCAGTGACTTATGGAGGTGATCAGTGACTTATGGAGGTGATCAGCGACTTATGGAGGTGATCAGTGACTTATGGCGGCGATCAGTGACTTATGGAGGTGATCAGCGACTTATGGAGGCGATCAGCGACTTATGGCAGTGATCAGTGACTTATGGAGGAGATCGGTGACTTATGGAGGTGATCGGCGACTTATGGCGGCGATCAGTGACTTAGGCTGGCGGTGATCAGTGACTTATGGAGGCGATCAGTGATTTATGGCGGCGATCAGTGACTTATGGCAGCGATCAGTGATTTATGGCGGCGATCAGCGACGTTATATGGAGGTGATCAGTGACTTATGGAGGCGATCAGCGACTTATGGAGGCGATCCAGCGACTTATGGTGTCGATCAGCGACTTATGGAGGCGATCAGCGACTTATGGAGGCGATCAGCGACTTATGGTGGTGATCAGCGACTTATGGAGGCGATCAGCGACTTATGGTGGTGATTAGCGACTTATGGAGGCGATCAGCGACTTATGGCGGGACTGCGGCAGACATCTGACACTGGGGGGAACTGACTTGGGGTCACTGATAAAAAAAATCCCCAGTGACACCAATACAGTGATCAGTGCAAAAAAAAACACACTGACACTGTACTAATGGCACTGGGGAGGAAGGGGGGTTAACTTTTTTTTTGCACTGAAAGGGTTAACTGTGTGAGGGGCGTGTTTTACTAGAGGGAGAGAGAGAGGGAGGTAGGTAGGTAGGTAGGTAGGGAGGGCGGGCGTGTACTGCAGGGAGACACACAGATTAGATCGGGAGAGAGAAACTCAATTCTCCTGGTGTCAGGAGCAGGGGTGGACTGACAACTCATGGGGCCCCCGGGCAATAGGGGATCATGGGGCCCCTGTGTCCTTGCCCAAACTCAAAAAAAAAGCCTATGAAAAAGGTACCAGGGGCATCTCATGGGGCCCCCTACTGACCCCGGGCCCTCGGGCAGTGCCCAAGTTTCCAAATGGTCAGTCCGCCCCTGGTCAGGAACTGTCAGGGAAGTGACAGAAAGCAGAGCTACTGCAGCTGCGCTCTCTGTCAGCGATTGCCGCAGATCGCTGGGACACAGCTGATAACAACCGGCTGTGACCCGGCGACTGACACCCGCGGCTGAGATCGGCAGTGAAGGTACCCGCGGCTGCGCGCCTCGCGCGCACCCCTACCTGTTTTGAAACAGCACGTTTTTAAAACGTGCTTTTGCCCAGCCGTGCTGCCCTGCTGCCGTATTTCTACAGTGGCTGGGCGGCATGTGCTTAATACGACCGCGCTGGAGGCGGCATACAAGGTGTTGTTTCGTTGGTATTGGGTTCCAGCTCGTTTGGCTCAGGTGACTCCGGCCTGCAGCGATCGATGCTTTGTTGGCCATCGTGGCGATGTATTGCATATCTGGTGGTCATGCCCGAGACTGCTTCATTTTGGTCTGGTGTGTTTGGCCTCCTTCTCACCTCGCTCCATCTCTCCATACGCTCGGATGCTCGGTGCGCTTTGCTTCATTGCCCCATACCGGGCCTCTCGGCTCTCACCAGCAGAAGTTGGCTTCCTATTTGTTTTTTGTCGGCCACTAGAACGATTGCTCAGGCCTGGAAGAGCCCGTTAGTCCCTCTTCAGGGACCGTATGACCGCCCATGATGCTCAATGAACAGATATTGAGTACCTGTAACCAGGGGTGGACTGACAACTCATGGGGCCCCCAGGGCAATAGGGGATCATGGGGCCCCTGTGTCCTTGCCCAAACTCAAAAAAGCCTATGAAAAAGGTACCAGGGGCATCTCATGGGGCCCCCTACTGACCCCGGGCCCTCGGGCAGTGCCCGAGTTTCCAAATGGTCAGTCCGCCCCTGCCTGTAACGACTCCCAACGGAAATTATTGATCATATGGGAGCCGTGGTTGCAATCTGCCCTTCCCCCACTCCCCCCGGATTAGTCTGGGGATGTTGCTCGATTTTGGCGATCTCGGACCCCCGATCTCTTACGTCAGTTTTCCCCCTCTATACCCAACACCTGCCTGAGGCGTGGGGAAAGTAGCGATTCGATTTTGTTTTCAAATTCGGACGCAGTTTTGTTTCGTTCTTTCGGATTTGTTTAAGTTCGTTCCTATTGTAGTTTGGAAATTCAGACACATTTGGACCCCATGCTTCCCTATGTTTGCATTTCAAATTTGGTTTTCAAATTCAAATTGGTCTTCGAATTGGTTTTAAATTCAACTCAAATTTGAATAATTCGTTTTTTTTCAGCCAAAAGTTTGTTTCATTATTTTGGATTCATTTAAATTTTTTACTATGGAAATTCAGATTCATCCGACTCTCTGAATGACTAAAATGTTGTCTAGCCCTCAGAAGTGCAGTCGGGGAGCAGCAAAAAGTCACGGCTGAGCTGTGTTTTTGCCGCTCACCAACCCCCCTCCCCCCATTAGGCTGCAATAGGCAGCGGACGGGCGTGTTTACATGCTTCACATCACGCCTTTCGCAACGTTTTCCCTGACATGTAGCGATCGGCAAACCCACCAAAACTCCACATTCGCAGGCGAATCAGGAAGCGCTGGGAACGTCCCACAATCTCAATGCAATGCACATTTGTTGGCAAAAATGGGGTTAAAACAGGCGGTGAGGAGGCGTGGCCTTGCTACCCCGCTGTCCTTCGGTAGCCTTTGATGCGTGATGATCCGAACACGGATTGGGCTTCCCGTGTTTATAATTCATACTGGATTGGATTACCAAGTAATATGTTGGATTGGATTGGATCGGATTAACAAGAAATATGTTGGATTGGATTGGACAGGCGAATGAGGAAGCGCTGGGAACGTCCCACAATCGCATGCAAACACGCATTCGTTGGCAAAAATGAGAGGAGGCGTGGCCTTGCTTCCCCACTGTCTATCGGTAGCCTTTAATGCGTGATCCGAACACGGATTGGCTTCCCGTGTTTATAATATCATACTGTAACGATCCTAGCCCGTCTTGCTTAGTAACAGCTGGCAGAGTTCCCCTTTATTATTGGAGATGGTAGGAGATCGCTCCGTTCCCCCACCATATTTGGAGCTAGTTATATCCATCTATGGGCACATCTCCCCCCCCAATCTGCCTCTGTGGACGGTCTAATCGTTTTCTTCTCGGTGTCCTCAATAGACGAGGCTCTAGATGAGATTGTGAGGATCCTCGGGGTTAAGCGAGAATGGAGAGGAGACGCTGAGGCGGGGGCCTCTTATCTCCACCACATGGGAGCCCCGATGATTAGATCTGGTGCTCCATTAATCTCTCAGAAAAATACAGATAAGTGATTTTTTTTTATTCAGTCAAGTGGAAAGGCGAAGCTTCTTCTCCAAACAATGGGAATAAACATTTCCTGCATTCGAGGCGATCGGCAGAGAATATCCTCACTTCCTTCAAGAAAATTCGATCTAAAGTTTCATAAATTCTTATATTATTATTATTATTATTATACAGTATTTATAAAGCGCCAATAGTTTGGCTCAGCGCTGTACATTACAGAGGGGACAGAACAAAATGTGACAGAACAATACCAATACAATACAATACAATGCAAAACATGAGGGGATCGAGGGCCCTGCTCTTTTGAGCTTACAATCTAGGAGGGAGGGGATGGTGGTACAGGAGGAGATAGCTGTGGGGGATGGAGTGTGGTAGAAGAGTGGAGGAGAGGTCGGCAAGTTAGCGGGGTGGGGTAGGCTTCCCTGAAGAGATGGGTTTTCAGGGTGCACCTAAAGGAGAGGAGAGTAGGTGATAATCTGATGGGTTGGGGCAGGGAGTTCCAGAGGATGGGTGACACCCTGGAGAAGTCCTGGAGGCGGGCATGGGAGGAGGAGACCAGGGAACTAGAGAGAAGGAGGTCTTGTGAGGAGCGGAGTGTGCGTGTTTGGTGGTACTTGGATATTAGGTTCAGTGATGTAGTTCGGGGCAGTATGGTGGACGGCTTTGTACGTCAGTGTTAGGATTTTGAATTTGATCCGTTGCACAATCGGAAGCCAGTGGAGGGATTGGCAGAGGGAGGGGTGGAGGACACAGAATGGAGGCCAGTTCGGATTGGCAGAGAAGGGGTGAGGACACTGAGTGGAGGCCAGTGGAGGATTGGCAGAGGGGGTGGAGGACACTGAGTGGAGGCCAGTGGAGGGATTGCAGAGGGGGTGGAGGACACTGAGTGGAGGCCAGTGGAGGGATTGGCAGAGGGGGTGGAGGACACTGAGGGAGGCCAGTGGAGGGATTGGTAGAGAGGGGTGGAGGACACTGAGTGGAGGCCAGTGGAGGGATTGGCAGAGAAGGGGAGGTGGAGGACACTGAGTGGAGGCCAGTGGAAGGGATTGGCAGAGGCGGTTGATTGCATAGGGGTGGAGGACACTGAGTGGAGGCCCAGTGGAGGGATTGGCAGAGGGGGGTGGAGGACATTGAGTGGAGGCCAGTGGAGGGATTGGCAGAGAGGGGGTGGAGGACATACTGAGTTGGAGGCCAAGTGGAGGGATTGGCAGAGGGAATTGGAGGACACTGATGTGAGGCCGAGTGGAGGATTGGCAGAGGGGTGAGGAAGGCCAGTGAGGAGGGAGTTTGTAAGTAGTCGAAGTCGTGAGATATGATGATGGGAGTGGATGAGCTGTTTAGTGGTTTCTGGGGTTAGGAACGTGCGGATTTTGGCGATGTTGCGGAGGCGGAGTCCTGCATGTTGCGGAGGAGGAGTCTGCATGTTGCGGAGGTGGAGTCTGCATGTTGCGGAGGCGGAGTCTGCATGTTGCGGAGGTGGAGGCGGCACGAGAAGATTTGTTAAAGATTGGACTTGGGGCTGGAAGGATAGGTGGGGGGAGTCCAGAATGACACCCAGTACTCTGGCCTGCGGGGCGGGTTTGATGGTGGCGTTGTTGGACATGATGAAGAAGTCAATGGGGGGTGGGGTCCGGGGCTGGGGGGAAGACAAGAAACTCGGTCCACTTGGAGAGGTTCAATTTAAGAAAGTGGAGCGACATCCAGTCTGATATGTCACTCAGTAGGTGTGTGATTGGGGCGGAGACCGAGGGGGTGAGGTGGGGGGTTTGAGAGATAGATTTGTGTGTCATATCGGCATAGAGGTGTAGTTGAAGCCATGAGAGTGTATGAGTAGGCCAAGGGAGGAGGTGGGTAGATGGAGAAGAGAAGGGGCCCGAGGACGGAGCCTTGAGGGACCCCAACAGAGAGGGGGGAGTGAGGGGGATGTGGTAGCATTAATAGGTAACACTGAAGGAGCGTTGTGACAGGTAGGATGAGAGCCAGGAGAGAGCAGAATCTCTGAGGCCGAGGAAGAGTGTAGTTTTTTGAGGAGGAGAGGGTGGACTGTGTGGAAGGTCGCAGAGAGGTCAAGAGTATGTTGCCTTCCCTGGGCCCCCACACTCCCCGCCCCCACGCCCCCCCTCCACCCCCTATAACCCCTCATCCCCCCCATCAGCATTCTATAAATCTTTCAGCTTCCAT